AAAAAAAAAAAACTCATGAGATGATGTGTGTCAATGGAATAAGTATATATGTGGAAAGACCTAATCATATTCCATTGAAATCTTTTTATAAAGATTTTATTGTGAGGGCGCCTGGGTGGCTCAGTTGGTTAAGCAACTGACTTCGGCTCAGGTCATGGTCTCACAGTTTGTGTTCAAGCCCCACGTCGGGCTCTGTGCTGACAGCTCAGAGCCTGGAGCCTACTTCAGATTCTGTGTCTCCCCGTGTCTCTACCCCTGCCCTGCTCACCCTCTGTGACTCTCTGTCTCTCAATAATAAATAAATGTTAAAAAAATTTTTTTTCAAAGATTTTATTTTCCTCTGTACATCCAACATGGGACTCACACTCAGAACCCCAGGAGCAAGAGTAACGTGCTCTTTTGACTGAGCTAGCCAGGTACCCCTATAACTTTTTTTACTCAATTATTTTAGGTTTCTTGACACTGAATTATCATTGATGACTTGTAACCTCAAGTTTGGACTCTACTGATGTTATACTTTAATTTTATGCATTTCATTTGTCAAGCGTAGTGGTGGTCTGAGAGAAAGCATTGGTAAGGTGAAGGGAACCTCTTTCATTGGGGGTGCTTAGCCATACGTATATATCCTGGAAAAGCTAGGATTCTAAGCTTAAGATAAAGTGTACTATACATTTGGAAGCATAGGGAGTGGCCAGGAATAAACCTAACACTGATATGTAAATTGTCATGTTTTCTGAGGTCATGGCCCCTTCTCTGGATTTGATGGTATGATTGAGTTCCTTTGTTGATTATTATAGGAGAGAATTACTCTGTCAGATAGATGATCATGAAATAGTAGGTTGGGACATGGAGAAAGAGATTTTCTTTTTTTTTTTTTTAATTTTTTTTAACATTTATTTATTTTTGAGACAGCATAAATAGGGGAGTTTCAGAGAGAGAGGGAGACACAGAATCTGAAACAGGCTCCAGGCTCTGAGCTGTCAACACAGAGCCCGACGCAGGGCTCAAACCCACAGACCGCGAGATCATGACTTGAGCCGAAGTCGGACGCCTAACCGACTGAGCCACCCAGGTGCCCCAAGAAAGAGATTTTCATGTGAGAACTATGGGTTACTTGGGATAGCATTTGTACTAGAGAAAATAGAGGGGGGATGATGGTCTGTCCGTGTTTTGAAAGGTAATGACTGTTGTATATCACAGATGAGTAAAAACTAGTCTTAATTTTGGAAACTGAAGAGAAAATTTTAGAGCATTTAAAGGAACCAAAGTAGGCGTGCTTGGGTGGCTCACTCTGTTGGGTGACTGACTCAATTTCGGCTGAGGGTCATGGGGTTGACCTCTGTACTGGGCTCTCTGCTGAGTTTAGAGCCTGCTTGCTGTTCTCATTCTTTCTCTGTCTCTCTCTGTCTCTCTGTCCGTCTCGCCTACTTGTGCTCTAAAAAGAAAAAAAAAACTCAAATGTAATATGCTTGAGAAAGACTCAATTTTGGCCACTTAAACTGCATTTTGATACCATTTTGTTTGGGATACCCTATTTCTCATTTTTGGGTCATTTCATAATGAACACTAATAATACATCCTTAGGGTTTGTGGTTGAATGTCATCTATAACAATGTCATTTCATGTTAGATTTAAACATACAGTTTTGGAAGTATATATTCGTAAGTTGTATTTGAGAGTTACCTACCCAGCGTATATCCCATAGTATTTTTGTGGCTGTAATGAAAATACTATTGCAATGCAATTTCAAACTCTCACCCTCTACCACCAGCCTCCCCATTCATGAATATACACCATATGATTCTGTTTCTCCCTGTCTTTTGTGCTGAAATGTGACCCATGGTTTGCACCTTTACATTAAATGAAATTAGAAAAATGGCAAGCATATGAAAAGTATTAGGAACTAAGAGAAAATGTGAGAAGGAGAAAAGTAACACAATCTTTATTTTGTGCTATAGTGCTCAGAGAATAATTTGAAAAGATAAATTGTAATGACTTTACCCTCAAGAATGAACATTACACAATGGGAATCTTATTTGAAAACTAGAAATCTCCATTTACCCTCTAAAACATTTTTTGCTCGTTTGCATTTGTGCTTCACTGGAACAGGATGTTCACATGTCAAGAATGATGGCTGCATGCAGCTAAGTGTTAGGAGGAAGTTGAGTATCTGATGATGCTTTCTTGGGAGCCCAGGATAGATTTCTCAAGTTCTGAAAATGGCTAGGGAGAACAGGGAATAGTAAACTACTTTGTTATGATGCATAATGTGCAGCGTCAGGTTGATGATACTCATTGACACTCTGAACTTACAACTGCTGCCAAAGGAAAGGCTTGTCTGCCTTCATTATTAGCTTTTCCTGCCCAGATGGGCAGAATAGTAAGAGGTTGTAATGAAGCTTCACAGGTATCATTAGTCGGGTATCAAAAGTACAGTCAGATCCTGTAATACAAAACTGAAGTTTACTCCTTACTGACTTGCTTGGGAAAGACCACAATCTTCCTCGTGCTAACTAATACCTTCTTCTTTCTGATGCATTCATAGCCCCACCACACAGTATGATTGTGGAAAATGGTTGTGAAATACTGTTTATTTCAGTTACTGAAGATATTTTTAGACTGGTGATGTCACGATTCTTCTATAAAGTTTTGGTCTAATATTAAATACATTCAGACATGATAGAATATTCTCAGCTACAAACCTTCTGTAGATGTTTCACTTTAAAGGAGAATGGAAAGAATGGAATCTCAAAATCATTCCTTCCATTTTGCTACCAAGACACTAGAAGCAGGGACTGCCTGGGTGGCTGTCGGTTAAGCATCCAACTCTTGATTTTGGCTCAG